ACACGGGTGGACGATCTTGATAAACACATAAACGATTTCCATAATTGTTAAGAAAAGCGTACAACATGGAAATTATAGCTGTCCGCCATTCGTATGGACGCCATGGGGCAGCTGTGGAAACTTAAACAGCTGTTCGTCGCCGTGTTGTCGGTCCGACACTGCTTTGCGCCCTCCCATCCCCACGAGATCATTGGTGCATTTCTGACACAAGTCACTGTAACGTCACATACGTGCGGAATACGCATTTGACCTTTCCGTTTGAGATGGCTGTCCTCTGGGTTGCTGTGCAGATGATGGAGACAGCAAGGACCCCCGAAACGTCGGTAAACTTCTACCAGGCTACAGTTTAATTATGGCTGACAAACTGATAAAAAAACTGGGATTCAGAAACCAGAAGTCAGGCACAAACATGGCCACTAAATGATGAATCTTCGACAGTTGTGTGCCAAAAAAACCTATTTTAATATAATCACGTGTATTCGTCGCTAGAGGTTAATTTGCTTCTATGATCACGTCAAAAAACTAAAGAAATCCAGACGAGATATCTCAAGCATGGACTGTAAATGATAAAATGTCAGTCTAATCACAGGAAAATCCTCTGCGGCAAAGCATTCGACTCAGAAAAACTGACACCGCGAAAACAGAAGCAGGACGTTCCTCCGAAACGGTGTCACAACTCCAGAAGCTTATTTCAACGGACTTAACAGTCACTTAATAAGTTCTGTTATGTTCATATAAACGAAGTCACGTGGGGCAATTTCGTGTTTCATGGAGCTGTATTGTCCGGTCGGCATGCCTGATGAGACGCTTAGTGGTCTGTAACGGCAGTCGCAACACACTGCATTGTGGGTAATGACGAGCCCACAATGCCAATGCTACACAAATGGCAGCCAACGAGCATCCGTTTGCCACAGGGCAGACAGAACCCGTGGTTCCGGCCAAACACAAACTGAACGTCCCGGCTTCTACACGCCCCACCACGTACAGTTCCACCAGGAACACGAAGTGCTTCACAAATTAGGGCCGACAGCAGGTCTTCGGC